ATTTTTAACATAGTAAGGAAATGTTCACAGTATGTCTGATAATATTTTTTCTTCTGGGGAAGGTCTTATTTGTTTTATTCGGGATAAAATAAAAGCAGTTTTTAATTTCTTAAAAACCATTTTAGGGACAAAATTATTAGCCCATTAAAGCTATATATTTTTTTTTGATAGTCTACAGAACAAACCAACATTATACAATAACTTGCCTAATTATCCTAACCTGCCTAGTTAGCCTAATTAACCTATAGTTAAGCCTTTTAATGTCACTTTAAGCTGTATAGAAGAATAGCTGTCTTGAAAAATATCAAGTCAAATAATATTTACTGTCATCATGGCAAAGATAAAATAAATCAGTCATTAGAAATGAAATACTAAAACTATTATGTTTAGAAATGTGATAAAAAAAATGTTTCCGTTAAACAGAAATTGGGGAAAAAATAAACAGAGGGGCTAATAATTTAAGGGGGCTAATAATTTTGACTTCAACTGTATTGCGATCATGACTTTCGAAAACAGTACAGCGCTTAGTAAACGTTTATTATTACCATTTCATGAGTCTCCCTATACAGTTTGATAGAGCACTTGGACCTGGAAGCAACGTCCCGTGACGTCAAACTTAACAAGCGGATGCCCCATATAGTGATGCAGACATCTCCAAAACCCAACAAGTGGTCAAATCTAAACTTGTTTTCATTAAACCAAATATAAATATGCATATGATAAATAATACTGCTAATACTAATTGCATTAAACAAATGCAAATTTTAAGGGTGACGCAGTGGCGCAGTAGGTAGTGCTGTCACCTCACAGCAAGAAGGTTGCTGGGTCGCTGGTTTAATTCTCGGCTCAGTAGGCTTTTTTGTGTGGAGATTGCTTGTTCTCCCTGCATTTGCTTGGGTTTCCTCTGGGTGCTCCGGTTTCCCTCACAGACATGCAATACAGGTGAATTGGGTAGGCTAAATTGTCTGTAGGAGGAGTGTGTGTGTGTGTGTGTGTGTGTGTGTGTGTGTGTGTGTGTGTGTGTGTGTGTGTGTGTGTGTGTGTGTGTGTGTGTGTGTGTGTGTGTGTGTGTGTGTGTGTGTGTATGTTTCCCAGAGATGGGTTGCGGCTGGCATCCGATGCGTAAAACGTGCTGGATAAGTTGGTGGTTCATTCCACTGTGGCGACCCCGGATTAATACAGGGACTAAGCTGACAAGAAAATTCATTCATTCATTTTCTTGTCGGCTTAGTCCCTTTATTAATCCGGGGTCACCACAGTGGAATGAACCGCCAACTTATCCAGCAAGTTTTTACGCAGCGGATGCCCTTCCAGCTACAACCCATCTCTGGGAAACATCCACACACACATTCACACACACTCATACACTACAGACAATTTAGCCTACCCAATTCACCTGTACCGCATGTCTTTGGACTGTGGGGGAAACCGGAGCACCCGGAGGAAACCCATGCGAAGGCAGGGAGAACATGCAAACTCCACACAGAAACACCAACTGAGCCAAGGTTCGAACCAGTGACCCAGCGACCTTCTTGCTGTGAGGCGACAGCACTACCTACTGCGCCACTGCCTCGCCCCCGACAAGAAAATGAATAAATGAAAATGAACAGAAAAAAAGGCCCCTGAGATGAAGAAAACATGAAGCCACTGGTTTTTCTAATTATGCAAACAATAATAACTTTTGCAACATTTTAACCCTTTATTTTTTTTTCATATGTAAAGATATTTGTGTGTTGCTGTACATCCTGTTTGTATTAAGCGATGTGCAAGCTTTTGGACTCGCATAAGTGCATAACTAACGCGCTCTGTGCTGGACTTTAGACCAGCTTTTAGATGGTCTATTTCAATTCCTCAAAATAGCAATGCACCCACAATGCACCTTAACAAACCTCCTTTCAAGACCACCACACCCACAAGTCCACAAAGTGGTGCAAATGGATTTACTATTTAAACAACGCGGTGCAAAGCAGGAAAATTAGGGTTGCACTGGTCTGAAAATAGCAAGCCAAATATGTCTTGCGCCTTATTCCCAGGTAGCAAAGAATTCTGGCCCAGATTTGGCATAAATCTGGCACAGCAGGCATTCATCCAGCACTGGCATACAGCATTAGGGCCACACATGACCCGGATTTGGCAGAGGTAGCACCGTCTTTAAGCCGGCACACAATACTTGGGCCAGATGTAAAATGTAGTATGAGGCTCAGATGCTAACAATAATTATTTTTGAATAAAGGAAGAAGAAAAAAATCTACCAATCAAGTCGATTCGAGAAAAAGCACACCCATAGCGCACCTAAAAGGCTTTATGGGTTTATCAACTTCATTGCAGGCATGACACACCAAAACATCTGGTCCAGTTCAGGCCCAGTTATGGGTTATTAAATTGGCTGAGACTTGGCCCAGATATGGTCCATAATGGCCCTTGTCTGGAAGCCAGACTTGGTCCAGTCATGTACTGTACTTACTGTACATAATAATTACTGTGTACATAATCGTAATGTAATTACTGTAATTTACTGTGGTATGTGGGCCAAGCAACAGCTGTTTGTGTGGGCCAGAGCTGGGCCAGAGATATTTTGCTATGTGGGTTGCGCTGGGTGTATGTGAGGGCCCTGATGTTTCAGCGGGCAGGTGAAAACATTCTGTTGAGTATTTAATCCACTCACACTGGTTTCATACCTGAGGAAAACTTGTACGGAAAATGTTATTAAGTCACTGTACAGTTTACAAGGACTGGTTTATCAGGTAGACGCTGAATTGGGAAAACTTTAGAGCAGTGGCGTGGAAAGGTACAATAAGGAGCGTTTGTAATTGGTCCCAGTGAGAGGAAACTATGTCCAAGGGACTGAAGGGCTGAAGTCATCTTTCCTAGATCAGCATGAATGGCTGGTTAAGAAGTGGGGGTTGGTGGCGGGACAGATGGATTAGGATCGTGAAGCTGTTTGGGAACAAAGGCTCTTCTGTATGTGTACTTAGCGCAGTGTGATCACGCCGACTGGCTAACATGACTAAAGTTAGTGACCCTTAAAAGGATAGTTCACCCAAAACTGGTCATCATTTACTCACCCTTCACTTGTCACAAACCTTTTTTCTTTTGATGAACACAAACACACACGCACACACGCACGTACACACACGCACGTACACACACACACACACACACACACACACACACACACACACACACACACACACACAAAAGATATTTTGAAACATTTCGGAAACCTGTAACCATTGACTTCCACAGTATTTGTTTTTCCGACAACAGCAGTCAATGCAATTATGGTGTCAAAATATCTTGTTTTGTATTAGCTTTACAGAAAACGGAAACTTAATAAGGTTTGGAACTTGAGGGTGAGTAAATAGTGAGTACATTTTCAATTTTAACTAATTTTAACTATTATAGTTAACTATCCCTTTAAGCTTTCTTTATGCTTCCGTTCAACCTGTTTCTTCTGTAGAGCACACATACGTAAACATAGACATCCTGAAGTCTCAAAAATATCCTAGCCAAAGCTTTCTTTAAGTCGTCGTGTTGTGTATTATTTTTAGGCAGCATACTATTTATAAAACTCTGAAAGACTATTGACCAAAGACTCTCGCTGACATTTTTTGTGTGAATTATTTAGCAATATAACTGTCTTGTGGTGTTCTACAGTGCCGCGTGTAGATGGCGCTGTTGTGGGAATTCGCTGCTAGTGTTCACTCAACGCACTCTCCAGTAGTGAAAGAAGTTTGACTCGATTCCGCGAATCGATTCTTTTAAAACAGTTCTTTTAAAGATTCACTGAGGGGTTACGTCACCACGTGGTCCCAAACAACTCGGCGTGCCATATCACATGCTTTAAAACGTCTCAGTAAAAACAGCCATGTAGGCTGTTAAAGGGACAGCTCACCCCAAAAGAAAATTATGTCATCATTTACTCTCCCCTTTTTCTTGAGTAAAACCGTAATGGGTTTCTTTCTTCCATTGAACACAAAAGAAGATATTTAGAGGAATGCTGAAAACCTGTAACCTTTGATTGTCATTAAAAACAAATATTATTGAAATCAATCGTGATATATATCAATAAAAAATAATCATTAAATTATATATATATATATACACACACACACACACACACACACACACACACACACACTCACATAACGGCCATCTTATTGAATCAACCTATTTAGGCCTTTTAATGTCCCTTTAAGCTGTATAGAAGTGTCTTGAAAAATATCATGTCATCATGGCAAAGATAAAATAAATCAGTTATTATAAATGATTTATTAAAACTATTATGATTTGACATGTGTTGAAGAAATCTGCTTGTTTAAACAGAAATTGGGGGGAAAAATAAACAGGGCGGCTAATAATTCTAATTTCAACTGTACATATTTAGCATAGAAAAAAGCCAGTTAGTCAGAAATAATAATTTCCACCAAATATAAATTTCTTAACTTTGTCTTAAATTCAATTATTTGTATTGTGTTCATTAAAAGGAAATATAAAAGGTCTAAAAATATGTAATCTTTCTATTCTATTTTGTATATATTATGTGTGCATTTCTGTATTAACTCTAACGCTATGTGTGTCTGATTGTTCAAATATTCCGTTATGGTTTGTACTTTAATTTGGTTTATGAATAGGCCTACTAATAAAAAATATCTGTATCTAATTATATTAAAGTTTGTAACTGGGCTTGAATAATTTTGCAGGACCAAATTATGTTTATTAAATTATTAAAAATGAAAAACAATTGGTTCATTCTAGCATCAACATGTATTTATTGAGCATGCTTGTTTTGTTTATTGTATTGTAATGTACTTTCTTTCTTTCTTTCTTTCTTTCTTTCTTTCTTTCTTTCTTTCTTTCTTTCTTTCTTTCTTTCTTTCTTTCTTTCTTTCTTTCTTTCTTTCTTTCTTTCTTTCTGCAAGCATGAACGCAAATTTACGCAACTGAAATCGAATCAGTTTTGCAATCCGGTTCAAAAGATTCGTTAGAAAAGATCCGACTCCAAACATACGACTCGGATATGCTGTTCTCAACTCTAAACCCGCTCAGGAATGAGTAGCAGCGGATACGCGGCCGTACACAACTATTTCAGTCGTTACTGCGCACGTTATGCATGCAATTTCGTCCTACCTAAAAGCACGCTAAAGTGGCTCGTCAGTTCACTAGGAGTATCATGTAACAGGACACTGGCTGGCCCCGGCTTGTGAAGCAGGAGCGAAGAGCTATCAATCCCCGGACCACCGTTATTCGGTGTGTGTTGAGTCCAGAGAGCGCTGCTGAGGCAGGGGAACCGCTGCTCTAATGCTGCCCTGACCGCACCGGCTATTTTCACGCGGTATCTTGTTTTCGTCCGAACACCAGATCAGGTTTTACTGCGGGACAAGATGTTGCAAGTGCTGGTTTGCGGCGTTGTGGTCTTCCCCGGTCTCTTCTTCACTTTTAGAAAAGTGCTTCCGTCCATTTTTAAGCGGTGGACAGATGCCGACGTCGTGCTGGTCAGCGAGAGGTGAGTTTGGTGACAGTTGAGGGGGTCTGAAAGGCCACGCAGCTCTGCATGCTAGTTTACCGCTGTCTGGTAGTGAAACTGCTCACATCCAGCCGGTCTGAACAGACAGATTGTAGTTTGCATATTTCAGGGCAGCATTCACAACTGTTTTGCTTTCGTGGTATATTCTAACAGCTTGATGGAAAGATTAGCTGGTGAATATTTGAGTGTGCATCTTTCCCTTTAACAGGGACCCCAAACTGGCTCCCTACAAAACCAGGGACCCCAGTATACTTTCTTTTCCAGTGTGGTTATTTTAAGGCCTTAAATAAGACCAGAAATGGATTAAATGTTACATGCGCTGTAATGATTAATGTCTAGTATTTAGTATTTTTGTTTAGATCTAAACATATTTAAATGGAGGTAGGCTATGTTTACTTGAGATGCAAAATGAAGATATTTGTTTCTGAAAAACTGGTTTAGGTTCTGTGGTGAGACAAAATATGTTTCTTTTATGGCATCACTGTGAAACAGACTCTTTATTTACAGAGTGTGGAGGATGAAACAAGCTTTTAAACCAAACAGAAAAAAAAATCAAATCTGTAAGCACACTGCTAACAACTTACTGTGGAATCTGTAGTAAATTACTGGCAGCAGTTCATCAGCAACTTACTGTAAATCAATTACAGCAAAATATTGTATGTACATTTCCTGCACCCTTTATCTCGCTGTATATGTATTTACAGAATTGTATGTATATCTCTACTGTAAAATATACAGTAATTTTCACAAAGCAGCTTGATTGAAATGATTGGCTGGTGAATATTTGAGTACAAAACCCAACAAAACCAGGGACCCCAGTATACTTTATTTTCCAGTGTGGTTATTTTAAGGCCTTAAATGAGATCAGAGATGGATTAAATGTTACATGCACTGCAGTGGTTAATGTCTAGTGTTTTTGTTTCGATCTAAACATATTTAAGGTATATTTACTAGAAATGCAAAACGAACATACTCATTTCTGAAAAACTGGTTTAGGTTCTGTGGTGAGACAAAATATGTTTCTTTTATGGCATCACTGTGAAAACATGATTATGTACCCTTTATTTTAGAAAGTGTGGAGGATGAAAAGCGCTTTTAAACCCAAAGGAAGATATTTGGGGAAAAAAATGAAATCTGTAAGCACACTGTAACAGATACTGTAGAATCTACTGTAAATTACTGGCAGCAGTTCATCAGCAACTTGCTGTAAATTAATTCCAGCAAAAATGCTGTATTTACATTTACAGCACCATTTATTTTGCTGTATATGTATTTACAGAAGTGTATATGTGTTTACTGTAAAATATACAGTAGTTTTCACAAAACAGCAGCTTGATGGAAATTATTGGCTGGTAAAACTTTTGAGTGTGCATCCTTCCATTTAACAGGGACCCCAGTATTTGTTTTCCAGTATAGTTATTTTAAGGCCTTAAATAAGACCAGAGATGCATTAAATGTTACTAGTAACAATGTTTAATGTCTAGTAATTTTATTTGGTTCTAAACATATTTAGGGTATATTTATTCCAGATATAAAATGAAGATACTCGTTTCTGGAAAAACTGGTTTAGGTTTTTTAGTGAGACACAATATGTTTATTTTATGGCATCACTGTGAAAACATCATTTTGGACCCTTTACTTAAAGAGTGTGGAGGACGAAACGTGCTTTTAAATCAAAATGAAAGAAAAAAAAAATGAAATCTGTAAGCACACTGTTAACAACTTACTGTGGAATCTGCAGTAAATTACTGGCAGAAGTTCATCTCCAACTTACTGTAAATCAATTACAGCAAAATACTGGATTTACAGTTACAGCGCCATTTATCTTGGTGTATAAGTATTTACAGGATTGTATGTATATCTTTACTGTGAAATATACTGTAACTTTAATAAAGATAAACAATGTAATAAAAAATTACTTTATAATACAGTAACATACTGCATAACTACTCTACAGTAAAATACAGTTCACATTACAGTTGAACACTGTGTCATTTACAAAAATCATTAACAGTGCATTGACTTCCACACTAGAAAAAAGCAACACTTTGCATTGCAAATGCATTCTTTACATGTTTCCAACATTCAACATAATCTATAAATAAACTCAAACACATTTATAACAAGTGAAGGGTGCCTAAACGATGACAGAATTTTCATTTTTGGGTGAACTATCTCTTTAATCTTGTTTTCTTGAGCGCTTTGGCAGATAATAACCACTTTACCTTCACAGAAAACAAGACTTATCTCATGTAATTCTGCTTCTCAAGCAAATATATTTAGAATTTAGTATCTTTAGACGTTTGCCCTTGAAAACAAGACAGAAATACTGATTGGAAGATGGCGTGAAAGTTTTATGCAGTGTAATCGGAAAGTGCAGTAAAAGTTTATTTTCTGTATTCTAATGTTTGAGAGCAGAGTGATACAAAACTAAACACCTTTGCATTATAAAAGTGTTTGCTAATACAGAACAAACTCATTATCTGCTAAAAGTTTACATTTGGAGAACATATTGACCTGTTGTGTTCCTTTCAGATTAATAATTATAGATTTTATGGTCACTTATTCCTAAAAAGGGTTTTAAAAAAGCTTAAACAATATGTATTTATGATATTTATTTATATTAAGGTTATTTAGATATGCTGTGGTTCCTTGTTATAACGTGGTTCATCTTTCACGGGTAAAATAAATTAACATAAATCTTTGATCGCTACCAATTTGAGTTCCAACAAGGATGCAAAAGGGTTGTAACTGTCTGCAGCAAAACCATCCTAAAGGGGGTGACACACCGCATGCACCGCGCCACGTAGTGCCATGCATTTTAGAATTGTAAACATAGGTTTATATCAGGGTACGCACACTGGCTGCACAAGTCAGCGGCTGTCTGCAGTGCCCAGCTACGACTCAGGACACTGTTCATATTCCTGCCACGCCACAGAGCGCCATCTGAATAAATTTATTTTAAATAACTTGCGAATATGCGCCTCCGGTCATGTGCGAGGCACATCCGGTGTGCAACCCCCTTAAGAATGGAGTCTGCTTTACTTTTGTGGATTAGTGACTGCAGGAAAAATAACATTACGCTGGATGCCAACTAGGGATGCAACGATTAACCGGTTTCACTATTAACCGCGCTTTAATTTGTCACGGTTCGTCACAATCGTAAAGGCTTCTTAACACCGTTTTCCTGCAACGAACAAATCTGCAGCATCTAAACTGTGCACTAGTTTGTCACTGAGACTAATAACGACGCACACTAGATTAATTGTGACTGAGGGTGCTTTTACACCTGCCTTATTTAGTTCTGTAGTGATTCCAGTTGTGTTATTTTTTTGGTATTTATCTTAAGGAAATCACTGAAGGTATATATTATGTTATCATAATGATCTAATGTGGAAATAAGACTGTAATACTGTGCATTTAACACAGTGGCTATATTCATCAATGTAAACACACCAAAACAGACTTAACATTATAGCAGACACAAAAGCTCATTGACAGCCACTAGACTTTTCTGACAGGGTATTCCAGTGTCATCGAGTGACAGAATGTTGTGGGACTGCTCTACAGGAGTTATTATTAGGGATTATAGATCGAGAATAGATCGCGAAATGTAGCGGTTTTTATTTTAGCGTTTTTTTAAAAAGCATGACGGTAAAACATGAACGCGGTTATGAATGTATTTAAACGTGTTTGTTTGTTGTAAAAATTCGTAATAATGACAAAAAAAAATACTAATTTGTGGATCTCCTTACTTCCGGGTGCAGCTGGAGCTAGTGTATTCTGGGAAATTTTCTTACCCCTTGGTTTCAAGTGTGGTCCTGAAAAGTCTTCGTTTGAAGGGGGTGTATACCCCATGCCCTTAGCCCTACACCCTCAAGCTAAAGAGAATTTTGACATCACTACCCCTTCACGGGCACGCGCAAAACGAGGGGTAGAGGTAAGGGCTAAGGGGGAGAATTGGGATTGGGCCAAAGTGTGTAGTGAGGGGTTTTACAGCCTTAAAACATTTATAATACTGTAGAAAATAAAGCTGACTACTATGTGAATTTCGCCTGTTGTGGGTTATTTTTAGAAAGTAACTCCCACGAATAACGAGGGACCACTGTATGTCCAGAACGTTCTTAGGATCTTGGGGCACCTGTTTAAAGATACAGTGAAGTAAACTCTTGTTCGATGTTTGAAGTAATCTCAAGCGAAACACAAAGAGAGGGCGGGACATATTGTTGCTCCTCCCCTTAAATGAACAAAACCTTTGGTTTTATCACCACTCTTGAAGTGTCTTGAAAGGGGCGGGGCTTGTGAGATACTAGAGAGCATTTGATTGGTCACGATTTGATGAGAAACTGAAGTATGAGTTGACATTAATAAAACCGTTGATGTATTTAGGCGGAAGTGAAAAACTACAAGCTTTAAATGTTTATATCAGTGTAATATCTTCTAAACGCAAATTTCGACACTGTTTTGGAGCACACTAGCTCATAGATATCCTAAAAACAAACAATACTGGTACTAACATCTGAAAAACTTTATTTTAATTTCATGGGATCTTTAAAACCCTGGCCCTGTAGTGCAGACTTGCTGTGACTGATACTGCTAAATGTTGTGGCTATAGTGGATTGAGAAGCTCAATAATGTTTATAATCGGACTAAGTTCTGCTCCTGTTATCCTGTGATATGTTCAGCTGATCTCATGGCCTTAATCACGCTCTGGTTAATTCAGGCAAGGGGGACGAACACGGATGAACCAACTTTTGTACAGCCTTCCTCTAGAATCAGACTTTCACTGGATACAAAATGTGTTTAATAATCTAAATCTAAAATCTGATCCAAATGACAGTGGTAATAAAGTAAGTATACATCAGCCTGTAATTATTAGATGTGTCCAAACTTAGGGTCTGCATTTGTTTAAACTTGTAAATGAAAGAGCGCGAGTCTTTATCTGTGGTCATCCATGCATTCAGGTTTGTGCAGATAAG